AATGAGGCTAAGAAAAGTTATGAATGGATAAAATACAAAGGCGGGTCTCCAATTTCAATTGGCTCTCAGAATGTCAGAGTTGGACAAGACCCGGACAACTAACCCTCCAAACAATTCAAGCAGTAGGATCTGAAAGTCAATAACAAGGAAATTATACATAATTGATTTGACAGTTACTGTCACTAGCCTCACATTGATCCTGGTCACAGCAAATGTGAGCAATTCCACACCTCTGCCATTATTTTGATGTGAGTTTTGGGTACAGTTTGAACCACTGTCTATGGGGCGGAGTATGAGCAGGCAAGGATAGTATACAAGGAATATAAGGACTTAACCCTTATTCTCTCAGCCCATGAGGAGTTTGAGTTTCCAATACAGGAAAAGATTCCAGCTTCTGAGTACGTGTTTCCTACCTCATAGCTCATAGTATCCATTTGATATATATTTCACTTTCCAACATATGCCCACCTACCCAGGGTCTGACAACACCCGTACTCAGCATTTGGTGTGAATCCCCCCTCAAGCCTCTCTTGAATCTGCTAGATCATCAAAGGGCTATGGATCCCTGAGGTTTAGATGGAGCCCCAAGAGAGGCCCAGGGCCCCCCAAACCACTTGTCCCTCCTCTTAGACTAACAGTTTACGCCTAGAGGGACAACAGGTGGCTGGATTTGAATGTAGAAGTACAACACTGTAGTCCCAAACCATGTAGAGCTACAAGATCCAAATGCACATACTCACAGGTGGAGTAGATTGTGGTTGATTTTGGGATTTGAAAGTGGAATCTGATTGGGAATTGCTTGACAAGAATGTTTCATGAGCACAGTAATTAACTCTGAAGTTTAAGTTTGTGTTCTCCATTACTCAATCATATATTCAGATTTTAGATTTCAAATAAGCAAGTCTTTGTTGGCAACCAGAGATTGAATTATTAAAAAAACTTCTAACTTGTCACACTTAATTTCCATTTAAACATAATTGGAAACTGATACTAGATTGGTGATTTTGTTTCATTCAGGGTGGTATGGGTTGTAGGAGAAGTTTAGAGTTTTGCAGTGATGTGTGACAGGACAGCCACTGAAAAATACATTCACCTGAGCTGCTTCTATCTGCATCAATACTACATCAGCCTCCATTGACAGTAAACCACAATATTTCTTTATATTAGAAAGAATCAAGAGTCTTCATGTCCAAGAAATCAAATTCTCCTCCTCCTTGGAACTTGATTCTCTTTCTCATGATGGTCATGATTCCAGTCACATATCAAAACATGATTACTGGGACAAAGGATGCAGCATCCAAAGTCTCAAGGACAGACTATGAAGAGTTTTGGTCATCTATGGACTCCATCCTGTCACCAATCTTGCCACAGATCTCTCATGATGTGTCCCAATGGTCAGAGTTTCCCTCAAATGATGATTACCAAGGAGGGCCCAAAATTGGAAGCCAAATAAAACCTCCAAATCACCAAGAAATCCAAAGCCAAGGCCTAGATCATGCTGAAGATTTTGGACAGAATTTGGAATCTTATCACAGGGAAATGATAGAGTCACCAATTAAGGCTATAGTTCATTCCAAAAACATGGTTGAAAAACAGGCAGGGGTAGATTTCAACACAGAAAAGTCAAGTAATGATATTCCAAAAAAAAGACCAATTGGTTCATCCAGTAAATTGAGATATATTTGGAATAAAAAAGCATCATCTGACGGCTCTGGTGTGGACCATGATCATTCATACTCTGAAGAGCTCCACAGAGATAATGTAAATCTTTATCAGAAGAAACAACCCTCAAATAGCTTACCAGACCAAGTCTTAGATTCCAATTATCAATCTGAAGACATATTAGAGTGTGTACACAAGGATATACCACAGCTGAATCAAGAGATGTCAAAACATGATAGAGAGAATGTTGAGACATCTAGTGACCTAAAAGTGATTGAAGATGTACAACAAAGAACAAAAATGATGGACAGTCCCATCATCTCAATCCCTGATTTTTTCTCACATGAACCAGATAGAAAGCTTGCATATATTTCAAAAGATTGTGTTCTTAAACTGCAGAGTAAGATTATATATAATCTACAAGATGGAATGGATACATTGGTAGTGAAGGAAGCAACAAATATTTGGAATGAGCAACTTCTCCTCCCTTTTGTTTATCATGTGATTTCACATGATCCTCAATCTCAGGTATCAAAAAAGGCAATGAAACTGGCTGCCATCATTTTTGCAGGTTACCATCAAAAGTTTATGTTACCTCATGAAAGGATACATCCTCAGAATCTTGCCAGTTTTTTGGCTTGGACTACAGATATATTCCATCAAATTACAAATCCCAAGCTCAACTTGACTTCATCAAAAGGAAGAGAGGAAGAAGAGTCAAAAGTCCTTGGTCAAGGAAATTATCTGCATCCAGTGGCACATGCATTGCGTGTAGTGCATGGAAAACCACACTCTGACCGCACAATATTTTCTGCAAAGGCCCGTTACAGTAATCGTTTCACCAGTGGCTTCATTGGGGAATGGGAGAAAGACATGCAGAAACAGAAATATCAAAGTCAAATCACATGGGTAGGTAGTTTTTGGAAAGACTGGAACAGTAAAGCAGAAGAGATATGGAAGAAAGGTAAAAGAGGATATATAGCTAAATCAAAAACCAATGGACATGATAAAGACTATGCACACACTTCTGAGCCAATCATGTCAAGCAATATTTCAAAAGATGATGAGGATATCCAAGATGAAAGCCCAGATACAATATGCAGATTGAGCCTTGGGTTTTCATATTTGATGAGGTCATTCATACCAGAATATTCATCAATATGGGATGTGAGTGAAGACGATTCTACCTGCAAGATCCTGTATACATTTCTAAATCACAAAAGAAATGATAGCCAATCAAAGTTTTTTTGGTATATGCTCTTGAAGTGGAGAAAGAGAAAAGTTCAAATCAGTAAAAGCTCACTGAGATCTAGACACAAAAGCAAAAGACAAGATTTGGATAAATAGTCTAATCCAATTGCAGTGAGTAACATTATCATCTATTATAAGTGTTTGAAGATAAAAAAAATCATAGCCATGCAATCGAGTGTCTCTTTCCAAAGAAGGAAAACACTACACAGACTCATTTGTATATTCACCTGGTGTAAATTTTCAATCATGAAGAAAATTCACTGCACACCTTAGAAATGATTAAAAGTAGAAGACTTTATTCTGGTGTGTTGAAGGCTGGTGGGGATAAGAATCTGATTTGGGATTTGTGCCATATGGACTGCCATTGAGAACTATCTTCTGTTCACAGCAAGAGATGTTACAACCCCAGCTACTAAAAATCCACCTTCATATTTTGGCCAATACATGAATGATTGAGACAACAAACTGTTGTCCAATATTCCCATTTTGATGTTGCATATTGTCATCAGATATCACATTTATATGTATTGATCTGAAAGTTGGCTCCATGGAATACCAAGGGGTTTCAAGTCAGGATATTTTTGTGAAAATTCTCATGAAACAGAGAAGTTTTTAAAATTTATGTGAAATTTTACGGTCTTGAACAACTTGTTGTACTGCAAAATACCGTAAAACTTTGGACTTGAAACCCCCTAATTTTCCAAAACATTTTTATATGTTTTGATTTGGTTTGTCAAGAAATGTGACTTGTTAAAGCGGTCTCAACACAATCCTGACAATTACACAAGTCTGAAACTAAATTGCTACAAAGATACAAACTGAGAGCATTCACAGTGGCGACCCCCAAATTGGGGCTACTGCCAAATAGAGCAATAGGGCCCCAGATTTTTGCTGCCGTGGCGGGCCTTATTGCTAAATATATTTGGGGCTGACTCCAAATTTTGACCCTTGGTTGTCAAATTTGACAACAATAGCGGCAAGCCCCAAATTGCCACACTCGCCAAACCCCATACTTCACATGTGTAAACACACCTATAATACGCCTCAGAGTATGTGTAACCCATACTCTTCACCAATTTGGAGCCCGCACCACTGCATCCCGAGTGGTTTAGTGCCCCACTAAAATTGGGTTTGGTCAATTTGGGGCCTTGATTTGGGGCCCAACCATTGTGAGTTGGAACATGTTTCAACTTAAGGGAATAGGTAAAGTGGCTTAGTAGTGATAGTGAAATATGACAGACTTCCTCGTGTTTTCATTCCATCATCTTTTTCAAAATTTGTATGATGTATGGTGAAGAGCTTATTGTAATGGTTTTCAAGTTAATTGTTGTTAAATTTCATTTCACGCTTTTTACAACTTACTCTTTCCTCATTACTCTTTTTGTCTTTATTGGGTTCATCCATCATCTTCATCAACAAAAACCTCTTATACTTTATCTCAAGTTTAGTCTAGATTTTTGCCACCCACCATCCCACCCTTAGTGTGTTGTAGAGTGATATTATATTTTTTGTAGTGTTTAATCCACCCCTCGGGTCTCTGGTTTAGTCCTCACACTGCAATTCTGCTCAGGCCCTCCGGGGTCGTCCAGCGTTTAGCAGTAAAAAACCCTCGTCTGATTTCTAAGATCCTACGATTGCCCAAACCTCTTCCCTGTGGATGCTCTAAAGAATAAAAATCACATGATACCATAACATAACCCGGAAACTGGATTAACTGTACTAACTAGCTTAATGAAAATATGCCCACTATAAAAAACCTAGAAGACATGAGGATGAAGAATAAAAATGTGACCAATGCCTAATCTTTATGAAATAAACCTAAAGCTAAGAATACTAATACTACCACTCGTATAGGGAGATGGGAAGGTGGGGCGAAATATCCTGATTTAAAGTAAATGAAAAGGATTAAAAAACGTGAGTTGAAGATGGATAGACTTTCGACGAAGGTGGATGCTGTGGGAAAGTTGAGAACAAAAGTGATCAACAACTATGATGTCATAGGGGAAAAAACCGACCCGTCACTTACGGGTTCACATGTAATTGTACGATTCCGACTTTCCCATTCCACAATATCGATCCATTCCGAGATGACCAATGCTCCAATGTCCATATGTGGGAGTCTTGAAAGCAGAATGAAGGTATGTACATACATAGTTTTAATAATTCATTATATCGTGATCAAATTTTTCAAGTCCCGGGCCACTTTATATGGAAGGAATTAACCGACCAAATTTGATTTTCACGCGACACGTTCTTCTGTCCCAATGAACTTATTGCTTCACTTTAGCTCTCAAGGTAAGCAAGGATAACGCAAAAGCCATATATGCTTTGCCTTACATTATATGACGTGAACCCACATAGAGAGCTAGTGGAAGACAAAATCGAATCCAATAGCTGATGTGAAAGACCTTTGGAGTCGTTTCCCCATCGACTATCAAACCAACAAGGACGCCAAGGATAAAATTGAAAGTCATCATCAAACGTTGCAACAATAATCAGTTCACCTTGATCTGCATCGTGCAGACAGCTAATCGAAACTCTGAGCGTAATCTTGAGCCGTGCCCTCCGCATCGGTCCATCAAAGAAAGCCACTACACCTTACGGACGGAAACTCAAATGTCAATGGACATGGTATGAAAAACGTAGTTCACATACAGACGCAGAAAAGTTGGGGTCTGTTAGGGTGCTTGATTGCCTGGGTGAATATGTAGATTGTGTAATCTTCTTGGCCGTCCGTGCCAACAGGTATCAATGATAGAATTAGGGTGCAAACTGGTTCAAAGGAAATATATTTATACAGGCGGCTCTCAAAGCGTTTTCCTCAACATCAACTTGAATCTTTGTGAGAAAGATCTATCATACTTTTCGAAGGTGTCTGTAGGAATTCTTCAATTTTCATTTGGGTTCTACACCTTGCTGGTTTTTTGTCACGTTGTACTTCTCTGGGTTGATAAGATTGTTTCAACCAAATATTGAATTGGCAATGAACAGAACAGTTATGAGCTCTGTCGACAAAGATTTTTCGCATAGAAAATTTATTTGGGCGTCTTTACAAAAATGTTGAGACCGAAAGATGATATGATTGATGGGTCACGCATGCATAAAGTTACAACCAAAAAAGCTACTGGTGCTCAGCATCAAGGGTGATAACTTGATAAGTGATGTGACGACCCTTGGAGCCGCGCGCAATAAAATTTACAAACAAAAAGATGCCAAGGAAAGCTTGCACCCACCCGCCGCGTTCACCGTAGAGAGGATTCCGCAGCGAGCGAAACGGAACTCCGAGCGAAATCCTGAAGCAGGAGTTCCGAATCGGTCCAGCACAGAAGATGAACCTAGTGACTCGAAGCGCCAATGGTGTGAAATACATACTCATCTTCCATGAGGTGGAAAAGTTAGGGTCCTAGTCTTTCTTCTTGAATGTCGAGACTCGAGATAGGCATTTTACAGGGTGGAAATCGTGGCGCCTGTCCGTCGCCGACCGGGACCGCTGAACAGAACCAGGGTACAAAGCCAATATACGGCGGCCCTCAAAGACCTTGATGTAAAATTGCCTCCAGAGTTCGACGAAAGAAAACGAGTAAGCTTTGTGTTGAAGTTGAAGTTGACTGTGTAAACGGTTTACAATGCCTTTTCTTTGAGTTTCACGCCGTTCTCCTTTGGTGTCGCAAGATATATTTGTTCAGATGCAACCGTTTTCACAGGTTTGCACATCATGGTTCGATATGAAGGCCACGCCAAGAGTCATCGCCAAGGCTGCCGAAGTTCACTTCATCGACAAAATTTTGTTATAGTTTTTGTTACCTTGAACTTAGCAAAGCCCCACGCTGTCGCCTCGCGACCTGCTGAGTTGATCGTTACCTGTGCACCTTGAGAATGCGATCCTCGTTGACATGTTTAAAGGCTCCAACGAAAGGATCCTCCCGTGTTCCTCATTCCTTGTCCTGGTTGTGAATTTTAGCTTTCCTAAACATTTCCAAAGATATTTGCAATCTCATATTTTCTTCTACATTGACAATGCACACAAATGTATGGTCTATTCTCAAGTAAATTCGCCGCACTTTCTCTTTTTGCTATTCCTCCTCTCTTTAAAATCCTGTTGCATTTTTCTGATTCTATCTTTATATTTTGCTTTAACAGAACGGTAGTAGGAAGTATCGCACAGGTCAGTAATTGACAAAGGTTCTTGTGCATGTCTTTTCTTGGATTTTTGTCTGATTCGGATAGACTGTTTGGCTTGAATGTACAGGTATCCTTCTTGTCCGTAAGTTTGTCAAACTCTACGATCCGTGAACCTTGCTTTGTTTTACCGCGCTCTCGGGTTGAACTGGATTGTTCGGCGGATCGGCACATGAAAATTGACAGATCGCAGGTTACATCTTGGCTCGCAAGAAGATTATCACTCCAAAATGCAGAACAAGTTTCAACGAAGCCAACAAGTGCGTTACTCATTCATCCATTCATAGAAGCTTTTGAAACTTAATGTTATACCGTCCATGTCATCCTCAGCGTTTTCTTTACTCCCGCTTTCATCTTCACGAAAATAGCTTTTCAGCTGAAAGCCTCTCAGATCGTAGAGCTTTATGTAGTCATCATAAGCTTTGCAGTAGTTACCATTGTGTCCGCTGCTTTAGCTTACTTGCTAGGCCTACTCCTACGTCTCAGTCCATCCGATCGAAGGTTCACAATGGCTGTTGCTATGTTTATGAATTCGAACTCATTACCCATAGCTCTAACAATGAGCCTACTAGACAACTCCGGTCCAAAAAATATATTTCAGTGGAGCGAAGATGATACGAAATTGCAGGTGCGATTTTCAATCATTTTGTCGAAACCGAGCTTTTGGGGTATCGACCTTTTGACATCGTTTAATGATTTCTAGCAATCCGCGAGGTCTACAGCGTACCTCGTACTTTATAGTACACTCGGTTTAGTTCTCCGATGGAGTTATGGTGTCCGTCTTCTTTCAGCTCCAAAACCAGAAGACGAGCAAGATAAAGCTCAAAAGCAGAACAAACGGAAGTTTTGGAGTTCTAAGAAAGAAATTCCTTCAACTCCAACAGCAGACGAAACACACGATAAACACCCATCCGAACATGCTGACGAGTCTCCTCGAGTAGAAGACTGTCCTGATCTGATGATGATACAACATGGAGAGGGTAGGATTAAGCCCACACTTTGGAAAAGGGTATTGACAAGGCTTCACAATTTTCTCAAAGCTTTGCATCGGTTCATGAACCCCACCTTGTAAGTTTCTCCACTCAGCTCGGTGAGAGAAAAAGTATAAACCACAAGGAACCTAAGACATCTTTTATGGTCGTAATACGTAGGTATGCATCCATCGCTGCATTTCTCGTAGTAATCATTCCAAAAGTGCAGGGTTTTATCAGGAGCATAAAGCCTCTTGAAGGGTATGCTGATTCCCTTTTCAACTCCTCTGCTGATTCATCACGGTCTAATGTATGCATTTCGCACGTCCATATCAATCATCTTAGTGGCTTGCAGTTTGCAGCAGACGTCTCAGTGCCTCTAACAATGGTAGTTTTGGGTTAGTCTAATCTTCTATGTAATCAGGGGAGAAAATACAAGAGTTCTGCTAATACATTATTCTAGGCGCCTACTTTCACAACCCTAAGCCCGAGTCATCACAGACTCCAGGCGAATCTGATGAATCAGATGAACAAATAGAATCAGAGAAGAAAGTCGTCAAGGGGCGTTGGAACAAGATCATTCAAGGATTAGGACCACCTGCTGAACGTGATACGATGCTCGTAGGAATCTCAGCTCGGCATTTCTTAACTCCTCTGATAGTAGTACCGATTCTTTATGCAGTCACTGCTGCTCTTTCATATCCCTCAGATAGCTCAGCTACCTACCCAGATCCAATCAATGATCCTTGTTTCTTACTAGTGATGTTATTATTAGTTGGATCGCCACCTGCTATAACATTAGTTCAAATGACTAATTCAAATAAATTTCCAATCGGTTCATTATCTTATCAACATCAAAAAGAATTTAGTCTTAGATTCCAAAGATTGATTTCTAAAACTCTTTTGATTGCTTATGTATTTATAACTCCCTTCACTATCATTATCTTAGTCTTTGTAGCTATAATTATTCTTCAAAAACGTTCAATCAATTAGGTTTTTCTTTCTTTCTAAACAAGGTATCATTTTTCATTTTTCATATATATTGTACATAGATCCTTTTCAAAAGGATTAGTTTATTTAACAGATAAATCTGTTTGAATCACTGGTGCTTCACGGGTTATAGATACGATACATAGATGCAATGATTATTCTTCATAGGGAAAAAAAGAACTTTACACATCAAATATCTTATAAACAATATTCCAAGCTTGGAATCTCAGCCCACCAGAATCCGATTCCTACTGTCTTGAATTTACATCTTGTACAACAAGTCAAGCTTAACCCCCCAAAAAACTTATCACGAATTTGCTCGATTTTTGCGGTTTGTTTGAGCTTTGTAACAGATAGAGTTGTACAGCACTTCATTCACTTTATCAAATATCCTTCTCTTCATTTTTTCTCAGAAAAGAAAGTCAAATCTATCTAGACAAGCCTATTTCAGTCTGATGTGATGGGTTTTTTTGACGTACACGTCCCCACGCTATATAGGAATTGTAATCATCGGGTTCGGGACAAAGCCTGGCCCTGCCGCTGCAAAAACTTGAATGATTACTTAAACTGTCAGCTTGACTCTAGAAGTGCGAGTAAACTTGCTCTAGAATCAAATGACAAGTACTTACAAAATGTATTTTATCGAGCTTTTAGGAAGAATTCCTATCTGCTGAGAGAAATTAATTTTCAATTCTTTGTAAGTAAAAAAGACTATAAGCGGTATTTATAGCTGTCTATGGTGTGGTATAAAACCCACTGCCAGTGTATCAGAAAGTGCACTCACTTAATGATCTGCCGAGGTGAATACGTAGAACGTAAAATGGTCCTGGGTAACGCTTTAGCGCTGATTTGATAAAACAAGTCTTTATCAAAAGATTTCTAGCCGGGATTGAAGGATCTTTAGTCGAATGGTTACTACCAAGCGATCTTTAACGTCCTAGTTGATGCGGATAGAGAAGATGAACGAAAAGAGGAAAAAGGGAAATAGGTCCGAACAAAAGAACTAGCGCAGAGCGATGAAGAAGTCTAAAGGAGGATTCTTGAAAGCAATACTAGTTTATCTTTTCAACGGAAGGAGGAAAAAGGTTGTGTTTTGATCTTCTTAACAGTAAAAGATAAATGTTCTGGGTTTTAGGATTTTTAAATTTTATCAGAGATGATCTTTCTTTCTTTTAGGAGGAAAGGTTAGCTATTTAAAGAGTTAAGAACTCGTTTGGATGGATATGAAATCTAGTTTGTAATTTTAAGGGTTCCCGTAGTGCGTCATCGAGCATATCTTGGACTAGTCCCTGATGTCGTAACAGGGCTGGTTGAGGGTATGCTTCGATACGCCTGGATTAGTTAATTAATCCCTGCTGGTTGCCTTCTTTGAAGGTAGAGTTCTTTTTACTTGTTTGATCATAAACGAAAAAAGAATTTGGTTTTAATTTGTTCCTTAAGTTCTTTTAACTTATAACTGTTTATGTAAAGTATTTCATTATACTGCACTCTTGAAACTCGAGTGTAAGAGGTGTCTTGTTCATATATTTGTATATATATATATATATGTATTCTTTTAAAATAATATACACTGCCAGCATAGATGCCTCGGGTTGAGAAATCCGAGGCATCATCGGAGGCAAATCCTCGGACAGACCTTGTCCGAGGTTTTCGCCCGAGGTATTTTTTTGCCCTGGAAATAACCTCGGATCAAAACCTCGGGAAGCTTCTGTCCGAGGTTTTGCATCCGAGGATACCTCGGATTACAAAATCCGAGGTAAATATGTTGGCGGTGATAATGGTGATATGTTTGTTAGTCTGTTAGAGTGTTATTTGCGCAGCAAAAACCTCTTCTGGCTGACACTCACCGGGGTCGGAAAAAAGAAAAAGTCTACTTAGAGTTTTTCTTTTCTAGTCTGAATTTTCTGAGGACTACTGAAGCATTTGCTATTTTGTTTTCTTGTAGCCATTCGTCATAATCTGATGTTTTATCTTTATATCTTACTAAGTAGAGTCGAATGTCTTTGCCTGATAGTTTCACTCTTTTATGGTCTAAAACTTTTTGGACAATCTTAGGACCTTCGTTGTCAAATGGTATTATTTCCTCTGACTGTTGTCTGTTTGGGAATTTATCTATATCATTGGATTTAAAGTGTTTTAGTAGCGACACTGGAAAGGTGGGGTGCTTTCGTGCAAATTCTCCCGTGAGTATTACTTCTACCGCGTTTGGTCCATGTAATTTAACAATAGTGAAAGGCCCCACGAAAGAGTCTTTGAGCTTTTTCGGGCCTTGGATATTGTTGAAATTAATTGTAGAGATGAGGACTTTATCTCCTATGATGAATTCTGGTTCTCGGTGAGATTTGTCCCACCGATCTTTGTTATATTTTGCTGATTCTTCTATACAATTTTGTGCGTGTTGTCTTGATCTACACAGCATATCGTGGAAACTGAGGGATGTGGGATGAACTTGAATCGTCTTGTCCATTACCATGTTCTTAGGGGTCCTTGGGTTGTAGCCTCTTTCAATCTCGAAAGGAGTTTTTCCCGTAGTACTGTGTATACTTGTGTTGTATGCTAGTTCTAAAGCAGGAAGAAGAGCTTTCCAATCGTGGGTATAACCTTCTTTATCTTTGAAGTTCAAACCAAAAGCGCAATACCTTCTTAGCATATCTTCCAGGCTTTGAATCATTCTTTCCGCTAGTCCATCTGTTTGAGGATGATATGATGTAGACATAGCTAATGTAGTTCCCATCAATCTTGTTAGACCTCGCCAAAACTCTGATGTAAACTTAGGGTCTCGGTCACTGATAATAATTCGTGGTAAGCCACAGTCTGTAATAATATTTTGCCAAAACAACATTGCTGTCCCCGCTGCGTCTATTTCCTTGTGGCACGGTAGGAATCTGGCTCTGCGGGAAAATCTATCCACGACTACTAGAACACTGTTCACGTTATCACTACCTGCTGGTGGTAATGCCGTCACGAAGTCCATATTAATGACCTCCCATGGAAACTTTGGTTCTTCGATTCTTTGAAGTAGTCCAAATCGTTTCCCTGTCTGTCTATTAGCCTTTTGACATCTTTCACATGATTCTATGTAGTTCTGGATATCTTGTTTCCATGTCGGCCACCATGCTGTGGACGCCATGCGTTCTACAACTTTCTCTTCGCTGAGATGTCCTGACATAAAGTCATCATGACAAACTGCTATCAGTTTTTCAATGTCATCTTTGCTACATATGGCTAGGGCATTCGTGTGTTTTTCTTTGTAATAGAGTAGTCCCGAGACGAGGGAGAATTTTCCTTCTAGAAAGGGCTCTTTCCATTCTTTATCTAGCGTGCTTTCTAGAATAGTATCTTTATGCTCTGATCCGAAGATTTTTACCAAAGTTTTTATATTAAAGTTGTTCTCGTAACTTTCTTCTATCTTGTTGAAGAATTTGTCTGATAGTTCGCATAGACTAATACCCATAATTGGTACATCTCGATCTACATCCTCTGCTTCCCATGCTGGGTTATCCGGATTGTTAGGCATCGCCATTCTACTGAGCGCGTCTGCGTTACTATGTAGAATCCCGGGCCTATGTGTAATGGTCATGTATGACTTATATTCTTGGATAGCCATTTGCCATCGCAGCATGTGCCTTGTTGGGGTTTTCGTGTTTAAAAGTGATTTAATGGCCTGACAGTCTGTTATTACCTCGAAATAAATGCCGTCGAGGTAATAATGTAGCTTGTTTAGCGCCCATACTAAAGCTAAACATTCGAGCTGGGGCGCTCCATAGCGCTTCTCACTTTCTTTCAGTTGTCTGGATATAAAACATACTGGCCCATTTACCAATTTCTCATTGATGATTTGTTTCTGATGTAGCGCTGCTCCTAGGCCTAAGAAACTCGCGTCTACATATAGAATAAAAGGTTTATTAAAATCCGGCTGTAAGAGACACGGCGCTGAAGTTAACAAATATTTAACCTTGTCCCACGCTTTTGCCCTTTCGTCAGTGATGGAAAATTCCACTCCTTTTTTCAGAAGGTAATATAATGGGAAGGTTACTTTCGCATAATTCTCCAGATACATTCTATAGTAACTGGAGAATCCGAGAAAGCTCTGGATATCTTTAACATTTTTAGGTAAAGGACGGTGTACAACTGCTGCCACTTTATTTTGGTCTATGGCTAGGGTTAGACCAGAGACTATATGTCCTAAGGCTTTAACTTCGTGGAATCCGAATTTACATTTATCTAGGGAGACCGTTGCTCCTAACTCTTTAATTTTGTTCATGATAGACTTTAAAGTTTCGATATGCTCTTCCCATGACTCGTGGAACACTATAATATCATCAATGTAAACTATTATGTGTCCATTTCGTAGTTCTTCATAGAATTCAGTGTCCATCATTTTTTGGAAAAATGCTGGCGCGTTTTTGATCCCAAATGGCATTCTTTGATACTCAAAGATTCCCAGATGGCATATGATACGCAGGAACTTTTTACTGCTGTCCGCTACTATGTTCTGATGAAACCCTTTCACCATGTCCATGGTAGTGATATACATTGATCTTCCCAAGTTTGTAATAACCTGTTCTATTCGTGGCATAGGGTATCTATCTGGGACTGTGTATGCGTTTAGTGCTCTAAAGTCTCCGCACACTCGTGATTTGCCTCCATGCCAAGCTACAACACAGGGAGTAGTTATCTCTACGTCCTCATTTTGTTGAACTTTCCTCAGGATACCAAGTTTCAACAGCTCGTTGATATGTACCTCGAGTTCTGCTCTGTTTCTGGGACTGGCTGGGTAGGCTGCTTTTCTCAGGATGGGTGGATACGGTTTTTCCACTGTCAATTGTATCTCTACTTCGTATTTTTTGATAGTGCCAATTTTGGTTGTTCCCAGTCCAAAACTGTCGTGGTAATTGTTTACCAAAGAGTGGACTTGGTCTGTTTGTTGCTTATTCAGGTTGCTTCCCGTAATAATACGCTCACTATCCTTAGGTGATAAACTAGCTCCCTGACTTTGTCCT